TCTACATTCCAATAAAAATTGCAATTGTCCTTTAAACCAATAATGTCCTTTACCTTAAAAAAAAAAAAATCGTCCTTTAAACCAACAATTAAAAGCAAGTGTCCTTTAAACCAACAATGCCTTGTAAATAATATTCTATACCTAGACACTCCAAATGGGAATGAAAGTGTATTTTGGAGTTAATGAAACTGCATTTAATTTAATATACACTAAAATATAAAAACAATACTAAACTATCTAAAGAAGTATGAAGGTTTAAAGGAATAAAACAAATCAAATCCCACAACCAAACCATGCAACCAATTATTACATGAAAAATATATAATAAAACAAAAGAAATATGAAAGAAATAAAAAAAAATTTAAAAAAAGATTACCGCTGCCCTAAACAAAAAAAAATTATCGCTTCCCTAAACCAAACTCTCAGTAAATATAGCAGCAACTCCGTTGCATGTTCTTTTTATATCCATTATTAATGCATGTATTGAATTACATAAGTACAAGTTTCAACCGTCTCCTTGCTCTATAACTATATATTCTTACTTTCTAGTAACTCTCAACTTAATAGTGGTTACTTGCAGCCTTGTCTTGCAATCGAAAATAAAAAATCAAAATAAAAAAATCCCAGGCAGTTCCCTATTTTATTACGACATCAGCCACTCTAATAGTTTTCAAATTACAAAACATGGAGAAAAAACGATCCTTATATCGTTATGGGGCGAAATCCCCCATTGTACTTTGTACTATTCTCTATTTTACATTGTACCATTCTCTATTTTATATTCCCCATTGTACCGTTCTCCATTGTATATTCCCCATTGTACATTGTACCATCCTCTATTGTACTTAAATAGTTGTTATTAAGGACAAGAACTATAGCTATATTTATAGTTAAGAACTATTACGCCAATCTAAGTGCGCATATATACTTGTATATTTTAAATTTTACTTTTCCAAAGATACAGAGCAGCCCACTACAGGCAAAAAAGCTACAATTTTCTTATATATATATATATATATATATATATATATATATATATATTATATATATATATATATATATATATATATATATATATATATATATATATATATATATATATATATATATATATATATATATATATATATATATATATATATATATAGATATAGATATATAGATATATATATATATAGATATATATAGATATATATATATATATATATATATATATATGTATATATATATATATATATATATATATATATATATATATATATATATATATATATATATATATATATATATATATATATAGATATATATATATATAGATATATATATATATATATAGATATATATATATATATATATATATATATATATACATATATGAATATATATATATATATATATATATATATATATATATGCCAGGGTATATATATATATATATATATATATATATATACATATATATATATATATATATATATATATATATATATATATATATATATATATATATATATACATATATATATATATATATATATATATATATATATATATATATATATATATATATATATATACATATATATATATATATATATATATATATATATATGTATATATATATATATATATATATATATATATATATATATATATATATATATATATATATATATATATGCCAGGGTGTAAACTAGCCCTGTGGTGCTCTGACAAACGCGGTTTTCCCAAATGCTCATAAAATTTAAATTCCCAATTTAAAGATGAAAAAATCCCATTCTCTAAATGTATTTCCAAATTAAAGTTTAATAATAATTCTAAAAATTATTTAAAATTAATTATTATTCAAAACTAATAGAAAATTACATTGAAAAATTCTAATTCATTAATTGCGTATAACATGAAATAAAATCGACATTATTGGTATAAAAACGCGATTGCATAACTGCGAAAATGTCTCTAGGAAAAAACTTCACAAGAATTGGGATTTTCCAAGTGATTTTAGGGATTTTCTCAGCAACTTGCTAGTAAAATTCATTTCTAATAATTTGAAAATAATTTTTTGCAACAACGACAAATATTATATAAAAAAGTTAGCAAGAAATAAAGTACTAATCTAAAAAATCTAAAATAATAACAAACTTGTTTGGTTTAACACCCGCAAATGCTATTTCTTCAAAAGTTTTGCCCTATTTGGCTGAAAAGTTCAATAACTTATAAATCTTACCGCAAACTAAACTTCAATTAGTACATGTACTTCGTCAACAAAAACATTGAAAAGTTTATCTTTCGAAATTTTGATCAATTACAGTTATTACGGAAAGTCTTTTAACTATTTTTTTTTTTTTTTGTTTGGTATTTTATATTAACTTAATTAGGTGATCACATCGACTAAAGTTTTTTACTTTTTTACTTATTTACTTATCTACTATTAATTCAATAACTTTTTTAAAAAATCACCTCTGAAATAAGTTATAAACAAAAATTGTTTTATGATTATAACAAACAGGTACTAAAAATTTATTGAACAAGGAAAATAGATATCTTTACTTTACTGCTTGCTTGTATTTAAAAGTAAATACATAAATACGTATATTAAAACGTAAATTAAATACGCCTAATCACAAAAATGTTTTTTTTATTACAACAAACTGGTACTAGAAATTTAAAAAACCAGAAAACAAGAGTCACTGCTTACTTGAATTTAAATGTAAAAGCAAAATTTGAATAAACATAGTCATAACATTTTATAACTATGAATGAAAAAAAAATTATTGGTATTCTTCAATGCCACGCCTGCAATTGCTTGCTATCAATATTACTCTATAATTAAACAACATTTGTTGCTGTTTTTGCTGAGACTTGTAACTACAACTTTATTTTGCTATGTGATTTATGTATAAAATAAATTATTATTAATTATAAAATTGAACTCGCAAAAATGTGAAATGAAATTTACGAGTTCGTGAATACTATTTTTAAAACCTTATCTATTTTCAAAAAATTTCTTTGGATGACACAATTTATTACTTATGATGTAAGGGTTTGTCCATAAAGTACGTCAAGCAGAATTTAAATAATAATTAGAAGTAGAAGTTCTCTCTTCCACGGAGATTTTCATTGAACATAAATCGCTATTTTATATTACATTGAAAAGTAATAAACTGGAAATTTTAATATTGTACGATTAAAAAATGTGCAATAGCTAATATTTTTACTAGCAATTTTATATAATATTTTTTTATTTATTAATTTTTATTTATTTTCATAAAGCGGTTGATAAGCATAATCACTTGTATTGCTAAAAAACGAACATTTTGAATAGATTTTTAATGTTTACAAGGAATTTTATTTTTGGTAAAATAAAATAAGAGAAAATGTTAGAATAAAAATCTTATAGGTATAAAACACATATTTCAGCGAAAAAATTATTCTTAAAAATTATTATTAAAAATTAAACTATTGATGTTCCATTTTTCAGCAGGTGTTCTTGAGCACATTTCGTTGAGTTTTGGTAACTTCTAACAAAAAAACGAACGTTATTATTTAAGTAATTTTTTTTTAGAGTTACTTTTTACAAAAATTTTAATAGCTGTACTTTTTAATTGAATCAAGTAGAATACGTTTTAATATTAATCCTTTTATTTTTTTTTATTTGCGCTTACCAATTTTTAAAATATTTCCTCGAACTTACTCTTAAATACTTTAAATATGTCTAACAGTTAATAAATATTTTTAAATCTATGAAATAATTTTAAAACCTAACAAACCCCCATAAAATAATTGTTTAAGTTAAAAATCTAAAACTAAAAGAAAGTATTTTTGTTCAATTTTATCGACAACTTTGCTATTGCTGAATAATTTTATTAAAATGTTAGCTTAAAAAGATTTAAACTTTTTTTTTAATTTTTTTGAATTTTTTTAAAAAAAATTTAATTTGAACTTTTTCTACTTGTAAATAATGAGCATATTTAATTTTTCTGTAATTCAAACTTTTATATCAACAGCGTGCGGTTTTTAAAATACTTTATTAAATGTGAAAATAATCGTAAATTACTTCACAAAAATATCTTTAAATATACTCAAAGAAAAATTTTTTTGCTCGACGCAAATAGCCTTAGCTACAAGCAAAATCGCTCTTGGACAAGGTAAAATTCACATTGCCTGACGCTTTATCGCAAGGCCTGATTTTGTAATGTAAAAATATATCATCCCTAATATATGTTCGGAAATTGGTCTTAATTTGCTGTGTCGTCCTGAAACCACATTCAACTTTGTGTTTATTTCATATTCATCTTTAATGTTACAAACAGTATTTTTTTTTATTTTTGGCGCTATCCAATCATTGTATGCAGCGTTGAAGTGGAGTAGAAAAAGAAAGAAAACAAAAAAAAAAAGGACCCAACGTATTCCTGTGGGGTCCTTTTTTTGTGTTTTAAACCCGACCCAACACATATTAATCCCAGGGGAGGGGGTTTGATTGGGAAAGACTTTGACAAAATTCCCAATTTTGTTAAAACGCTCTATTAAATTTATTCCTGGTTAACACCCTGTATGCATATATATATATATATATATATATATATATATATATATATATATATATATATATATATATATATATATATATATATATATATATATGTATATATATATATATGTACATATATATATATATATATGTATAAATATATATATATATATATATATATATATTATATATATATATATATATATATATATATATATATATATATATATATATATATATATATATATATATATATGTATATATATATATATTTATATATATATATATATAGTTTTATTTCCAAATCTTCCCTAACCCAAAACATAAACCTTTTTAAACAAAGCCGCTGCACAGAGAAACAGATTGAGCTCAATACTTCAAGAGGTCTAGAGTGAATTTGATTCTTAAACCTCTCAATTTTGAGATAGATAAAAGAAATTGAAATACAATAGTAAATATAGTAGAATACCTCCATCAGATTGTGCTGATGTTTGTTGAGTGTCAAATGCAAAAGTACGTGGTGAATCTACAGGGCTTGTTGGGGTCCTAAATTAAATTTAAAGTTTATAAAAATTTAAATGTGCAAAAAGATAAACAAAAAAAATACAGGATAACATTTTAAATACATATACACATACATATATGCATATACATACATACATACATACATACATACATACATACATACATACATACATACATACATACATACATACATACATACATACATACATACATACATACATACATACATACATATTTACATAGGTATATCATACTCATGCATGTTTTATTTTTGATTCAGTATGTCACTTTTCCTACATATTTATATAACATGAGATGAATGGTATAAATTTTTTTGATGAAAAAACAGCTCTTGCTAGCGGGAAAAAGTTTTTCTGTTCTGAAAATATTGTATTTTTTCCCTAAATGTTGACTATATATATTAGAAATGTACATATAATGATGACTATTTATAATATTGATTAATCCTATGTTTTATTATCGTAGAATGATTTTTGTTTTTAAAAATAATATTTTGTGGATAAGTTCTAGTTAATATTCAAATATACCTTATAAATATGATGATAGCTATTATAGACTTACTTTCAAACAAAATGTTATTATTTCTGCCATTTTATTTTTAGATTCATAATATATTCAAAATGGACAAATGGCGTTATTGGATGGCAAGAAAACCAGAAAATCCATAAAGACTAAGCTAAGTGAACATCTTGGTGGTCCTAGAAAGTTTCTCTAAACTTATATTCCAACATTACCTGATTGTTTGCAGCATTGTCTTGATCTGCAATGAGAAAAAATACTAAAAATAGAAAAAAAAAATCCACATCATTTATCATTGCAAGAAATTTTCTCTAATGTTGCCCATGAAATTGCAGAACGATGGTTTATTTTTGACACTGAGTTTAAAGAGCCTTTAGTTTGTAGTACTAAAGCTATAGAACTAAGACTCAGTAGATGGTTTGCATTCTTGACACAAAGCCCAAAAAGCCAATAAAGAACACTGGGAATATAAACTTGATAAACTTTTAGACATTGTTTTTTACAAATGCAGAATCTTGTGATTTAAATTTAAGTCAGTTTTTGCTCATTGCAAAAACTGATTTAAATTTGAGAATTCCTGAATTAAATTTGAGCTTGTTTGGATTAAAAGCCAGCAAGAAAAACAAGGTAGTGTTTCAAGGTAGAAACTGCCATGCTTAGGTTTAAAAATTTTCGTAAGTCAATCGATCAAATTAGAGTCATCAAGAATATTTTATTCATCTACTATAAAATTTGATGCTAAAAATATGGATGTTGCAGCAGAAATAATTAATAATTCCAATGTTGATTGATTGATCAATAATAGCAATAAAGTCAGTGATAGCAAAGAAGACTCAACAAAATAAAAACAAAAAATCTTAAACAAAACTATCTTGATATCAGTAATGCTGCCATTGCCTCTGTCAGATTTGGTGTGTCATCGACTGCTACTGCTGCTATCATTAATGGTCTTCTGAAAGATATTATGAAGGCAGGGAAACTTGTTGAAGATAAAAATACTCTTATTTGTGATAGCATAAAAGTTTTTCATGCCAAAGAGCGTCCTATGAAATGTTTTAGAGTAGAGGAAAATTTAGACTGAAAGAAATATAATCACTGGAATTTTTGTTGATGGTAGAAAAGATAAAACTTTAATTCTTATGCATAAAAAGACCACAGGCACCTTCAAAAAAAAAACTAATAAAGAAAAATATATAACTGTGGCAGAGGAGCCTACAGGTCATTACCTTTATATACCAGAGCCGAAATCTGAAATATGTAAACCAAGCAATGTGCTATTGGATTATTCAACTGGTTAATGGAAAGAGGTAGAGATCTTAATCTCTTACTAATTGTTAGTGATACCAGCACTCGAAATAGCGGCCGATCAACAATTAATGATTGTCTGCTTTTGGAAAAAATGATATTTTGATCTCCCAAAATCAATTCTGGACAATCAAATTTGATCGTCAAGAATTGCATATCAAACTTTATATTAAAAATTCAAAAACGTATTTAAACAAACGTCACCAAAATCTTCAAAAGACAAAAGTAAAATGTCGACACCAAAACGTTAAAAGTTAAACAACTGTTAAAAAGGTATTACAAAATTTATATAAACAAAAAATTTATTACACGTTAATGAACTATTTTGAATGAAATGAATTTTTTTTAATGAATCTAATTTGCAATATTATTTAGAAACAAAGTTTCATGTGAAAAATTTTTATGATTGGTAGAAAGAATGTTGACTTCATAAAACATCATAATGCTTTAAGCAAAATAAAATTGTTTTTATTTAAAATTATTAGAAAATAAGTTTCAGAAGTAAAATTATATAAAAAGTATTAAAATAATCATAAAATAGATGCAAGAAAAAGCAACAGAAAATTATTTCTTCGAAAAGGAAATCAGGATCTGAAACACTTGCTAAGAATAAAGTAAAAGTTTATGAAAGAAAGTTACAATTACAAACAGTATTTTGTTTGTTTTTTAAATAAATATTCTTGCGTTAAAGTTTTAATCAATGTTTTCTTAAAAGTTCCCAATATTTCTTGTATCGTTTTTTTTAAAAAGACTATCATTTTTTTTCAGTAATTAAAACCAAAAAACTTCGATCATTAATATTAGAAAAGCCTTTTTTATTGCGTACAACGCAAAAGAAAAAAACATTTTTGCAATTAAACCTTAAATGAACGATATACTTTGATCTAATTTGCGTGTTATTTTCAATTTTTAATAAACTTTGAGTTTGAAAAACATTGAATGAATGAACTTGCGCATTTTTGTCAATTTTAAATGTTTTCACTAAACAATCGTTTATAATGTTGTAAACAGTCGCTTAGTTTAAACTTAAATTTTAACTAAATGAATGTAAAAAATATATTTTATATTATAAATATAATAAAAATATTTATAATATAAATGTAACGAAAATATTTTGTAATATAAATATTAAAAAAATAATCATAAATGGACGAGATATTCATAACAAAAATCTTAAAGTTAATGACAATCTATGTGCTAAAAATATCTTAAGGTGATCAAAAATTTTTTTTTTTAATGTTTTGAAAGATAGATTTTGCATAATCAAATGACGAATCAAAACTTAATTTGATCCACTTAATTAATTTCTTACTTGGTAATTTGTAAGATCAACTTAATTTCTTATTTGTTAATTTTTATGATAAGTTAGGCATGAAGAACAACTTATCATAATTTTATGAAAAGACAGACAACTGTCTGGCATTTAAAATATAAAAAATAAGTATAAAAAATAAATTTTTTCAAGGGCTTCCTAAAGTGCATTTACTACGTTATTTAAGATTTATATGCGGCAGTGGTGTAGTGGTAAGAGCGCTCGCTTTGTAAGCGAGAGGTTCGGAGTTCGACTCCCACCACGTCCCTGGAAGTACCGCGCTCAACTTAGTTTCTCCGCGCAGCGGCCTTGCTTGTCAAGGTTCGTGTTTCGGAGTTAAAGAGTTGAGAGAGGGTTGTACCACGAAATACAACAAAAAAAATAAAAAACACAAAAAAATGAGTAGCTTCCTCGACTGTAGTGGTCCCCTCGGGCCTTGGGGAGGTGAATAATGTAAAAAAAAAAAAAAAAAAAAAAAAAAGAGGCTCGTTTGTATTTATAACATGACACTTTAAAACAAGGCCCAGTATAAGTTTTATTTTTTATTGTTTCGGAATTTTAAACAAAGTGGGAATTCTGCAGAATAAGCAGATAGCAGCACTATCAAGTACAAATGTAAATAGTGTGACACAAAAATTACTACACATAAAACTTTAATACAAATTAGCAAAAATATTTGATCATCCGGAAATTTATTTGATCGTCTACTTTTCAATATTTATCTTTTCTGCCGATCAGTGTTGATCAACAACCTCTAAATAATTATTTTGAGCGCTGTGACAAATTAATTTTCTGGATGAAAAGGTGGAATGCTTTATTTTGTGAAGTAACTTCTCCATCAAAAATTTTTTACATCTTTTTGCTGGCTTCAAATTAATGAGCTTCCATTCCATCATATTGTGGAAAAACTTTACAGGCCTACTTCTTCAGAAAAAGGATGGTGTGGAGCAGTTGGTAAACTGTTTTTTAAAGTTGATAAACTTGAAAGAATTACTAAATTTAGACCAATTCTCTTTCTGAAGTCTTGAATTAATATCAGTGAAGATTTGGAAGTATTTGAATGCAGTATTAAAAGGAAACCTTGATCCCGAAGTAGCAGCCCTTAAATGTGGTAGAGTCAATGGCTTACTTGTGGCATGAGACGTTTGCTTCTTAAACCTGAGAATGCAGAGATCTAAATTTGCTCCTTGCAACTTGGGTAACATAGGTTTATCTTCCAATGTTTTTTGAGATTAAAGTAAATCATGGCATTAAATACAATTCTGGTTATCTTGTAAAGCTATTTTGACTTTAACAGAAGCAAGATAAAAGGGTTGAAGAAACTTCTAAATCTTATCTTAAAAGTAAATCCTAGTGGGCTCATCCTGAGAATATACTTGTTACACTTTTCTGTTCTGATAACTCAAAACGAAGTTTTGTCAATAATATTGTCAACATAATATTGGCAGCCAGGGCTGGAAGTATACAAAGCTCTACTGATGTGAGACCTTTAAAGTTCCACAAACAATAAACCTTGATGCTTGTGAAATCAAAGAACTTATTGATTGGAAAAAAGAAGTCATTACTGAACCAGTTTTCACAGCAAACTTGTCATAATCCATTGAGAGTTTCTCCCCTGGAGCTTCCTTTATATTCATTACATACCCAAAGTTGTGAGAGAGCAGTCAAATTAGTTACCAAAGAGTCTAACTGTGGTTGTGATAAAAAAAGTTTTATATGAACTCAATTGAGAAATGGAGAAATAATGCTAGTGATGAAATTTTTATAATTGTTTTTGCAACTATGGAAATCCCACTAGTTGAATGAAGGTTGTTTGTTTGTTGTTGTTGTTTTTTTGGAGGCAGGGGGTGGAGTAAGACAATTCCAGTTTCTTTACTAAACTTTATAAAACTTTAGAATTCATAATATGTTTTAAAAAAGGTTTTTTTATTTATGTTTACATAAACAATAATCATAATATATCTTGATAATTATAATAAATTTATCAAATATTGACAGAGGGGCGGCTAGGACCCCTATCCGGTTTTATACATTTATGGCAGAGAATTCTGGGGGGTCAATGATAATTTTATCTGTTATATTGATAATTTATTTAATACTTTATACTAATAATCGTCTAAAACTTTTTAAAGATTAAACCCTAATTTAAAAAGGCTAATTTTTACCCAAATACATAGGAATCCAAGCCTGCTAGCCAAAATTTAAAAATTTAAATTTTGACTGAAATATGATATACCCTAATATATATATATATATATATATATTATATATATATATATATATATATATATATATATATATATATATATATATATATATATATATATATATACGCACACATACACTAATATATTGGCATAAATAGCTTTGTATGAAATGCCAGATGATATAGATGTCATCTACAGGTCTTCAGTACATACATTGACTGTGGGTTGGGCAGATATTATCTACATATGAAGGACTATTTTACAGGAAAAAAAATTGTTTTTAACTGATTTTTTCAATATTCTCCACTTGTTCTTCTTTTTGTTGTTTTTAAAAAAAATTTGCTGGATTTAAGTTGGCATTATGAAATGTAAAGTGTACAAAATATATTTGAACAGTACCAATCTAAATATGCAAATCTAAGTGTGTGGATATACATACATATATATATATATATATATATATATATATATATATACTCTTTTTAATGAAAATCCAATAAATGTTAGAACAATGTCATACGATTCCTCAAACATTAGTCATTTTTGGGCAAAATTTCGAAAGTAAACTTTTAAAACTCTCTAAAAGCCTACGATGGAGCTGAAGTGTCCTCTTCCATACATTTTGTAATAGATTCAAGCCATTGTTTCATATCTTCTTCATCGTTTGCAGCAAGCATATATTCTTTATTGTTTACGGCCTAAAAAAGTAATGATTATAAATATATATATTATTTACACTGGTACTTATGTATACATAAAAACACCAAAAATGACCTTAAATAATATCATAAATATAAAAAGCTTCAGTACAAACATCGAGGATTCAAGTTTCATCAAGGATTAGAGTTTTAACAAAGAAAGTTACATATACAGATTTACTAGAGTAAAAAAAATTCTATATATTTTTTAATCATTTATTTTATTTTTTCTGAAAAAACTTTACTTTTTATTACTAATATTTATTTATTATGGCAAAAAAAAAATTTATTGTATCTGATGATCTTTTTATGTGTACATAAAAAGATCATCAAATACGTATTATATAAATATTATACGTATTATATAAATATTTTAAAAACATATTATATATTACATAATATTCATAATAATCATTAAATAACCATTAAAGATCATTAAATATATTTAATTGGCTCATAGCCAACCTAATTCTGCAATTTTATACACACACCAGGGTTGGGGCCAAATACGTATTTGTATTTAGTAATAATAGGCTATATTTTCATACATATATTTGTATTGTATTAAATAAAATTTGTTTTCATTCTTCTATTTGTATTTATTTAGTTCTTCTATTTACCATTTTATTAGTATTGTGTTACAAGTTTTTAATTGGTTATCAAATTTATTCTTTTTAGGTTACTTCATAACAAATTCAAAATTAAAATTAAAAACAAAATTAAAAATAAATTTGAAAATTTATTTTTAATTTTGTTTTTAATACAATTTTCTTGTAAAATACAGTCACAATATAAATTAAAGTCTATTTTTTAAATATTTGTGAAATATAAATGATTTTCTTAAAATTTTTCCAAAAAATTAAGAGTAAGTGCATTATTTAATACAGCACACAAAATAGTGGGTGGTCAACAGTCAAGGACTGTCCAAAATGAATAAAATTGCTGTATTGACCTTCAAAAATAAGTTTTTGCCAGTCAAGGTTGACCGGTTAAAAAAAATATGAGTTGTACAAGTTTTTACAAACAATGAGGATATATTTCAAAAATACTAAATATTCATAACACCTAAAATTATTTATTTTAGGACTTGAATATTTCGAAAAAACGTCTAATTTTTGTTGTCAATGATAAGCTACTTTTAATTCACTTTGTTGACGCTTGTTATACATGATGTAAGCTATATACTCTTTTTTTATAAATTTTTAGTTTTACTTAATTGTAAAACTAGTGGTTGCCTTGGTTACATACTAGATTAAAATTCCTATTTTTTTACTATTTTCTGTTGTTAATTAAAAACATTTTTCTTTGAACTTCTGTTTTATTTTTTCTTCTAGTCCAATTTTTTCATTTAATCTTTTTAAACAAAGAAACATTATAAACCCAATTAACAATTCAAATAAACTAAAACTATAATTAGCGCATTTTTTCAAATTAGTTATCAATAAAATGATTTGCATTAATAATTTTTATATTGGCATTCCATAAAATGATGGTATTCAAGTATTAAACAGATTCTATCTGCTGACCAGTCTTGCACCCCTTCCTCATCTTTTAGGCTGGCGCAGATGTATTTATAATACATTGTTTCCAGTTTAGGATGTTGAATGCTGGATCTTCTTGACTCAATGCATGGGTTTTGCTTGTGTCTCTATTTAAAGGAATAGGCAACTCATTCTATTATCTCTTAATGAGGGTACAGCTCTAAAACTCAGTTTTATGGTTCTGAGGCCAGCTGGTAGTCACGTTTCCAAAACTCTGTGGTAGCTCTCAGAGAGGCTGATTCCATCAATGGCTGTAAAATATCAGAGGCACTACTAACAGTGCCATGTTGGCCTGGGCATTTACATTCATAAGAATTCACCCAATCATCAGGAAACTAGGTTTGAATCAACCAACTATTCTTTTATGTGCTTTCGTTTAGCACCACTTCACTCTATCACCGTCCTCTTTGTTCTATGTCGTTCTCCTTCATCTCAAGATTGCACTCTTTTTAATGTGATTTTTTATCAAATTGACCAAGCCCTCTCTCCTAATCCATCAGCCAATATTGTTGCTGTTGGTGATTTCAATGCTCGTCACACTGAATGACTTGGCTATAGTGTCAGTGACTCTGCAGGCATTAAGGCCCATAACTTTTGTCTTTCTCAACCTCTAACTCAAATAGTTAACTTTCCAACATTTTTTATAGACAACCCGAATCATTTACCTTCTACTTGACTTAAATCTTGTTTCAGATCCTAGTCAGTGCTCAGTTTCTCCACATTAACCCTTAGGTGCTTCCGATCACAGTTTGATCTCTCTTAAACTATTATCTCATTCTTTTTCATCATCAGAATCCCCCTATCATTGTACCTCTTATAAGTACTTTAAAGCTGACTAGGACTCTTTCTGTGATTTTCTTCGTAATGGCCCTTAGGAAGAAATCTTTTTTCTTTCTGCTGATAAATGTGCTTCTAACTTCTTGGATTAAGGCTGGCATGGAATCTTTTATTCCCTCTTGTCAATTCCAAGTAATGCCTCACTTTTCTCCTTAGTTTATGGAAGTAATGGTTTTAATTTCCAATTGAAACCATTACTTCCATAAACCAAACTGAAACCATTGTAAAAAAGTTTTGTCTAATGCCAAAGCCCTCTATTCTCATGTCATGAAATCTCATATTTTATCTCAAAATTTAGGCTTTCGTGACTTCTGGAAAACCTTAACAGTATCAATAAAATGGGCAAATCTGTTATTCCATCTCTCTTGCATGGTTTAGATTTTATCACCTCACCTAAAGACAAAGCCGAATTGTTTGCTAAGAACTTTTCATCAATATCATCTCTTGATTCCACTAGTTGTGTTCTACCTGATATTGCTAACAAACAGGTTGATCCATTGCTTGGCATTCGAATTACTCCAGTTTCTGTATCTGAAGCGATTTCCTGCTTAGCCTTCTACAGCTTGTGGTCTGGACAACATAACTGTTAAAGTCTTGCAGAAGTGTTCTCCACTTGTTTTCCAGCATGCTGGAAAGCAGCATCTGTTATCCCTATTTTCAAAAATTCTGGAGAGTGATCTGACTCGTCTAACTACTGCCCTATTAGTCTTCTTCCTATCATAAGCAAGGTTTTTGAATCTTTAATTAAAAAACAATCTCTTATCTTGAATCTAATAACTTACTTTCTGATCATCAGTATGAATTTTAATCTTCTTGCTCTACAGCTGATTAACTAACAGTAATAACCGATAACCGATAAGTTTTATCATATATTAGATAGAGGTGGAGATGTCAAGGCTCTTCTATCGCTCTTGACATTTCTAAAGCTTTTGATAAAGTTTGGCATGCGGGTCTTCTCCATAAGCTTTCTTCTAACAGTGTATCAGGTAACATCTTAAAGATAATTGAATCCTTCTTTTCAATTGTAAAATAAAAGTTGTCCTCAATGGATAGCACTCTTCTTTATATCCTGTAACTTCAGGGGTCTCTCAAGGTTCTATCCTTGGCCCTATACTCTTTTTAATTTACATTAACGATCTTCCTAAAATTCTCACATCTATGGTGACATTGTTTGCTGATGATGCCAACACTCTCTGATCCTTTGGAGTGGGCATTTAAGCTTAAAAATCCGTCCTGGCATGGAATACTGTTGCCATATTTGGGGCAGATCTTCCAATGATGCCCTTTTTCTTTTAGACAAGGTGCAAAAACGCATTGTAAACATAGTTGGACCTGCTCTTGCAGCCAACCTCCAACTATTATCACATCTTGATAAAGTTGCTTTTCTTTCTCTTTTCTACATATACTATAATGGGCACTGCTCTAAAGTGCTAGCATCTCTTTTGCCATCTACTAAAATTGATTTTCATGTTACTCACCATTCAATTAAGTCTCATCCTTTTACTGTGACTGTTCCTAAGTGCTCCAAAAACTCTTATTCATCTATTTTTTTCCTCAAACATCAGTTCTTTGCAATTGGATTCCTTCATCTTGCTTTCCTGATTCATAAAATTTGAAATCTTTTAAGTAGTCTGTCAATCGTTATTAAGCTCTATAAACTCTTTTCTTCCAGTAACTTTTAGCTCTAATAGCAGTTGCTTGCAGCCTTGTTGGAAGGGAAGATGTTCAAATATATATATATATATATATATATATATATATATATATATATATATATATATATATATATATATATATTCAATTTCAATTATTTTAAATTTTTTGTTTTTTTTTGTTTTAATTAAATTTATTAAAAAAAAACTACTGCGCTAGATTAAATTATATATCATCATCACGTGCTAAAATTTCATATTTTCTACAGCTACGTTGCTATTTAATATAAAGATCCCTCAAACTTGATAATAAAATTTAATAATTAAAAACATGCGTTGTAAAGCACTAGGTGGTAAGAAATTACAAAAATGTTTTTAAACTAAAATTTTCTTACGATTAAATTTATAAAAGTTTAGTTATATTATACAAAAAAATTTAAAAAAGTTAAAAGTTAAATGCACAAAAATATCAAACATCTAAAAATATCAAATCTCCATTTTTAATCGAAGTTATGTTTTTATTCTGTGCATGAGAGCTATTTTAGATTAAAACTATTTCAAGGTGTTGATTGAAGCGTTAGTTCTTTACCATAAAACTTTGTTATGAGTTATGTTGAAAGTAATACTTTAAAAGCATTAAGTAATATTTTATTTACAAAGTTCATTTTTTTTTCATGAATTAATTGCAATGAAAAGAAAATTAAAAAGTTGAAGAAAATTTTCTTAAATGAATGGCCTAAAAAAACAGTTAACCACCAATTTTATATGTTAGTCAGTCAAATTGACCGCTAACCTTTGATTATTTATTTTGTGTGCTGATTTCATAGATTGTTGATGAAAACTAGCTATTTAAAAAAAGTTTAAATAATGAATAAAATTAATTAAAATTGATCTTTAGTTTGTAAAATAAAAAATAAGTTTAAAATATTTGTAATTTTTTTTTAAATCTAAAATACAAATAATTATATTT